TTTTTCTTTTTTTAAAAACCTATTTCTGCAATCTTAATGACTCTCCCCTCTGGTCCACTACTTATACCTATTTCCTTCTTCCACAGCAGAATGTTCTGCTTTTTAGAACATATAGATGGAATTCTTAGCCTGGATTCCTGGATTCCCAAGTGATTCATGGACAGTATTTAGGGCATTGATGAACTTGAATGGGGGAAAAAATAACATCTTTATTTTCATTACCTTTGATTAAAAATTAGCATCTCTTGCCATTATTAATGCAGGCAACAAACAACTAGTATTAATATCTGACTTCACTTATCAAGCTCGGTTAACTTGATATCACTTACATAGATACGGATATCTTAAAGTATACATGTCACCTCTTCACAGTGTTAATAGGCTTGCTGTGGGGTTGCATCAATAAAGAAGCATGTGCATTATTACTATGGCGCAGATTGGACTCTGGCTTTTGATACTGCATTTCATTATTGATCTTTTTTGTCTTCTGTGTATTTTGTGCATTTAAATACATTCTGAGAGTGGATCCACAGGGTCCTAAAATACCAAACAGGTTCAGTGGGTAAAGAAAAAAAGGGGTTAATCTCTAATTGCAAGTTCTTTGTGCCCCTTATCTCTGTAGTTCTTTTTTTTTTTTTTTTTTTTCTTTTCCGACTGGACAGTTGTCTCCATTACTCTGCTAGGTTTGGTGTTCCTGTCCATACTCCCTGGGTCATTATTACATTCATTTACTACCTTGTATCTTTGTTATTATTTTAAGATTTATTTATGCATCCAGAACTGGGGTGCAGCCAGGGGTGCAGGGGTGGTAAGAGGCTTCACCAGAGACAGAGCGGGGAGCAAAACAGACAGATCGACAAAGCACACTGCTGAGGGGAGCAGCGGGCGGGCCAGAGGTCTGCCGGGCCCTGTGGTCACCTCTGGGGCAGGCGGGGATCGAACTCCTGCGGAAGTGGCTTTAGCTTTCCTAGTGCTGTGCTTTAGCCCACTGTGCCACCAGCGAGGGCCCTTTTTGTTATTATTTAATTACCTCTGTATGACGTGGTTTAGAATATGCAAATAGTGTAAAAATTGATATAAGTGACTATAGAATCTCCCTTCTAGGCCCAAGTTCTCTTTCCCCAGGGAAGCTTACAGATGGTATAATTCAGACCAAAAAAAAATCTCATTTTTAGTGCTCCTCTAGTCCATGTCAGAGCCCCTTTACTTCTTCCTCACTTGATTACTTGCTTGTTGTTTTTGAAGGTCTAGATCAGTCATCGCTTCTAAAGCCACAGCCTTTTTTGTTCCCAGAACTTTGTTCTGAATTATATTTTGGACTTTTCACATAGGTTCCAAAAGATTCCTTTTTCTACACCAGGGCACTTCTGCAAGAAAAGGCAGGGATTGTGTATTAGTTAAATATGAATCCACTGCACATTCAAACTCAACGACCCACAGGTTGTAGGTACTCTGTAAATGATAAAAGTGAATGAATGGCCTCTGAGTTGTGAGACAGGTACCCATTGTAACTGATACTGTATTGTGTGTAGATTGTTCTGCATATAGTTGATGGTATACCATGAGGACATGGTTTTAAAAGTTGGGAAATGTTGTATTGAAAACAGTACTATTGAAATAAATTTTCTTATTTAAAGATTCAATTGCCTGGGGTAAAGGGTTTCAAAATCTATGCACTGGCATGATTTCACTTCCCAGCTAGGCAGCTGACCCACATGGCACAGCCGACTCTTCTGTCTCGCCTGCTGCACCCCTTAGCATGTATGTCAGTAGATGTACCTGCTTTCCACTCTGTCTCTGTGAATCCTCTCCCCACCAGCATCTCTGGCCTACATTCTGGTTTTTGTATCCCTATCAAAAAGAATAGGTTACTTAATAATGACCTTTTAATACAACCAAATGATCAATAAGATAAAACCTGTTTCAGTGAAGGTTTTAGATGCTTGCTTTTCTGCTTTTGCTTCCTGTTTGGGGAGGCTTTCTAAATTTTGTTTAGAATAAATCTAATGCCAATGTATTCTAAACTATTTTTCTTGTGTACAGTAATTGGGTAGTTGGACCTAGTCTTTCCTAAATATGTTCTCTCTCTCTCACACACACACACATACATCCTCTAAATGAGAAAAAGTCTATGTATAAGGTTCTGTTTTAAGAAAAAAAGTTGTTTTTGCACTTCAGGTTCTTGTATAGAAAGAGTGCTACCTTCAGTGCTGGGTTTCTAGCACTGCTGGGTTTCCAGTGAATGCTTTGTTCACTTACATGTAAGCTTTTCAGAAACTAGTGTGGTAAACTTTGGTAGGATCTTAAGTATAAGTAATACTGAGACTGAGACTTCTTGCAGAGGCTGCATGACAGGTTTGTAATTTTCCTGCCTAATTTTGCTTCTACTTTTGTGTGAGTTAACATGGGAATTTCAGCATCCTGATAGAAGTTGCCAGATATTTCCTTGAAGCATTTTACATTTTTAATTTTATTTTTTGAAGATTGATTTATCTATGCATACAAGAACAGGTACAGGCCAGAGGTGGGGGAGGTGAGAGGGTCATCAGAGACAGAGTGGGGAGCAGAGCAGGCAGAGTAACTGAAACACACGGCTGAGGGGAGCAGCGGGCAACAGGGAAAGTGCTGCTGCCTGGCTGGTGGGGGTCACACTTGTGCTTTAGTGGTGGGCGGCAGCTTGACAGTGCAGTCTTTAACCTCTGTGCCACCAGAGTGGACCTTCACATTTTTTAAAGTAAACATGGCAAAAATAATTCGTACCAGTAATCTGTGTAACCGTAAGATGTACGGGTAGGTCTTGACTCAAGTCACTGTTTCTAGGGCCATAGTGACTTCTAGCCAAAGATAGCTTTAGGAACCCAGTCTGCCTGTCAGAACCTCTTGTAGAACTTTTTCCAAATGTTGTCATCTTCAGTGAACTGCCCCATCCCACCCCTAGCTAAGACCTGTTGCTGTTGGAGTTTTCGTTCTTTGCTCTTGGTGCTTAAAATTGCTGTCAGTGGGAGCTTTACTGCTGGCAGAGATGGCAGCTCAGTCCATAGGAGCAATTATGCTTTTATTCCCTAGTGTGCGTGCACATACACACCTATCCAAACACCTAGTTTGTGATGAAAGGAAACAAGTTCTGGCTAGGCTTATAGTGCCATGTATATATTTGCTGGCTCTAATTTCTTGTTTTGGTATCACCTCGTCTACTAGGGAGATGACGACTGTTAGAGAAGCAGTACCAAATTTAAAAAATCCTATAGAAGGGTCTTTTGAAGAAGACATAGCTAGCTGTTCATTCTTCTCTTCCTTGCATAAGACTGAGAGCTTGGTGGCTAGGAGCCTGTACTCTAGCAGAGCCAGATCAGCAAAAGCTTTACTTCCTAATCTCGAGCAAGGTGAGAGCCTATGAGTCTAGCCATTAAAATGTACGCCTGG